CTAAGTTTTAAGTATCCATGTTAACATCTTATTCATTCTTAGTATTATAATCATTTGTGGACCTATGCTTTTATTTCTTCTCGATTTGATATAATGGATGTTAGTAGAGTAGGACAATAACAAAGAACATTGTCCAACCGGTTTCTGCTATTTTTTAGTAGGTGATTTGTTGTTATTCAGTGGTCTTTTTTAACGGAGTGGGTTATATAGCATGGTTCGCCAGTTAATAACGGTTATTTTGTTAAAACCGCTAAATTTTTTTTAAATTACTGTTTTAAAAAGAATGACCACTCCTAATATTTGCCAATATCAGCTACTCTTATTCCTATTTTTATATATTTTTTCACAATCTTATAAGAGTTCCGGTACGTATTTTATAATATTTTGTACACGTTAAATGCACTTAAAATAATTTAAAAATGGTTTTGATCCACTTATTTTGAATGAAAAATTAAATTTAAAAATAAATAAGGGAAAGTTGTACAAAAATAAAATTATTTACTATTCTATACTTTGATTATTTTTGTATTTGTCATATGGAAACAAATTCGTGTCACGTTTTGACCTCGAAACTATAATTTTTACAATCAACTCCGAAAATTTAAAACAGATATAAAAATCCAATTTAATGTAAAAATTGTAATGCACAAATGCAATTTTCTTGCCATTTTAAAATTGTTACCTCTTAACACGTTCCGAGGTTTCCAATGCAGAAATTATTCCTCCATTGGGGTGTAGTTCCCGTACAGATACTTTGTAGGCCGCGTATGGCACAAACCAGTAACTTTAGACTGGCACGTGACTGCATTTTTAAATGCCGTACAAATTTGTATTTTATTTCAATTTCGAGAAAAAGAAATTAACAAAAAATAAAAAAAAACAAAACAGATACTAAAGTTCAATGAATTCATAAGGCAATAAGGCACAGCCAAACAAACTTTCTACTGGAAATACCCTAAAATTGAAACGACGGAATGCGATACAAAATTTTTAGTAAATACGCCGCATTCAGTACATTCAGTACGAAATACCGCTCTGAAAGCCGCAAAATTTATTGCCGACTGCAATGCAAATTTATGCGAATTGTTGCAATTGCAGTGCGGATGAGCGAGGGGGACACTTGCACAATCGACTGCAATTTCTGTGTTTCTGTGCTTGCACAAAAACTTCTAAAGACTGAGCTTAGCGCCTTAAGTCATTCCTTGTAATTGCCGAGACAAAAATAACTTCATTGCACCGCACATTTTCGAACTCATTTTTATTTGCTTCTTAATTTGCTCCACCACAAATCGCTCCAATCCATAACGATTTCATTGTACCGGCACTGACGACTTCAGGTAAGATTCTCAAAGGAATTCGGATTCTTTTTTATGGGGAATAATTAAAGCGAAATTTGTAAGTGCGTTGAAGCGGAAGTTGAGTCATGCGGGTACGGTGGGCATATGTAGTATAAAATCTAAACTTTTTTCAATTTTCTCAGGATTAAACATTTTTTGGTATGGATTATAAAGAGAAGTTATTCTAGCTCAATGTACGTTATAGGAAAAAAAATAAGAGTTATATTACGTAAAGTACTGAAGTGTAAACTTATTACAATCTTTAAGCAACTGAACTAGATACTTTAGAATTGGGTAAGTAGGAGTGGCAGAAAACTCTACTAGCTGAACTCCGCTTAATTGATCTGGGTCTTGCGACAACTAGGAAATATGTTCAGTATCTTCACATAGCAACATTTGAACTGAATAAATTCTAAGGTCTTTAATCAATAGACATTGTCAGGTTTATCAAGAGTTTTAATTTATCCCGGGAAAGTTTAGGGGATTCTGTCTTAAAAAATACAACATTGGATGCGATGGGTTTTCTAATTCAAATTTGTGTTTTTTTCTTTATTACATATTACTATATTTATATTATATATAGTTAACATAATTTATTAGTCTTTGTTATGTCTTTCATTTAAGACAGTAGTTGAAATACCGTTTTGAGGCATTTTATTTAAGTGCTATTTTTAGTGAAAGAATTGTAATATATTTTCAAAGGGCACTCTTAGTTCTGTTAGCATACTACATTTTGCATAATACAATGTAACAGTATTAACTGTTCACGTAGATAGTACAAACGGTCTTATAGAATACTAATGTTTCTTCCAATAACAATCATAAACTAAAATAGCTCAGTGAGAAATTGAACTATTACTTTTTGATATAAGTATATTAGGTCAGCGATTCAAAGGATATAGCTAGGTCTATTGTCCCATAGCGTTATTATATAAAAACTCTGGAGCTTTAAATACTACCATGAACGTATAGCAAAGTCTAAAATGATCTTTAAATGGAGTTGCTGAAGCTGACCAAGATCCACAAGAGAGTAATCGGCTACCATTATCAATCAACGCAGCGAATGTGTCTTTAATACATTAATACAGTTTAAAATCAGTACTCGGGATCAACTGGAATCAAAGCCAGCGGTTAATTAGTTGGCCATTACAGATGAGAGCCGCGTCGGCAGACTTTTTTATAATCATTTTTAGAGAGAGTTTTACAAGATAATTCTGGCAAAGATCGTTAAAAGACTTCCGAAAGAAGAACAAACTAACTTTCGAAAGATTTTTGAGTGAGGTGAGCTGAAAAAACGTTGCCAAAACGTTTGCCTTTAGTTGACCAGAATATTTTAGATATAAGTTCAGTTAGTGGTACGTAATAAAGTGCACATTTTGGTACTTAGTGTTTTAAGTTTAGTATTAGTAAGCCATATTATCATTAGAATTTCTATCTTCGCAGTGTTTTTCTTCTCTCAGAACGTTTTTGATGTGTTTATCAGTTGCTTGTTTTCGTCACACATCCATCATTTCCTAATTTTCTTTCCATAATTTTCTTTCATAAATAATTTTTATTTGACTTTTTGTGGAAAACTCATCCCACTGTGCAGCACAGTTTAAAGTTTAGAGGGGCATAAATTTGAATTGGCAACCAAAATCAACGTCCTTAACAATAGTTTAAAAAATTTATGTTTGGTTTGACTGTCTTATAAAGAAAACAAGGTACAAGGTAAAGTACTAATATGAACCGACAAGACAAGGCAAGATACGGGCACATAAACCGCAAACAGCGAGCATTCACACTCACATCAAAGGCGCTCATATGTGAAGCGCGCACCTATAAGTGCAGTGGGTGAATCTCTGATGGAAGCATTGGATACGAGCAAAGGTCTTCGATGTACAAGGTTCTTTTCTGTAGTTTTGAACTCTTCGTAAAATAATAAAATTTGAAATACAGAATAAAAAAATAAACACATAAAAAATTATGGTTTAAAAACAATGAAGCCAAATGGAAATGAAAAATGCTGATTTTTAACAATTTTGACAACCGAAGGGATTTGAAATGCAGTTGAAATGTTAAATAAAAATACATACATTCATTTATGTATGTATGTAGATATATATTTATATGTTTATGTTTGAATAAAATGTAGATTTTTATATATTCAGTTCAATTTTAAAATATTTGTGGAAGTTTTAGTCCAAAGTCTTTGTTGCTATCATAAAACGTAACGAAGGTAGTTTCCCTGATTTTGACTGCCAAATTTCGCCAAAAGGCCTAAAGGAATAAAAAAATATCGGCAGGTGCACTTAAGAAAATAAATGATGCTTTTTATTCAGTAATGATTTTGGGAATACTAAAAGGGTTAAATGCAAAAACGAACACATATTTAAAGGATTCTTTTAATTTAAATTTAGTAGCCTTTTTCGGAACTTTACTTTATTTCAGCCATTAGTTAGTTAGCAGATTTAGAGCCATTATTTATTTCTGTATATGATATCAGTATCATTTGTATATGATATCATTATCAGTTGTATATTAATCGATTTAGTATTATAAAACTGTATATTAATCTCTAAATATATTTTGTTGTAAATTTACTAAAAAGTTAAAAAGTTAGTTTAGAAAAACAAAGGCTTTCATAACCGATAATTTAAAAAAAATCAGCTGTAAAATAATTAATTATAGCTATTTTTTATTCCTAAATTTTAGTACTATTCTTTTGCAGAGGTATTATTTATGTTATTTCGATTTTAGCATGATTCACATAATGATTATATAATTCCGATTCTGAGCATGATTTTATATTATTCTTTCTTCTAAATAGCACCTCATCTGGGAACCTGATATAAAGGAGAATGACATACATTTGAAGTTTCGCCTGTATGAGTCATAGAGTATCATGACTTCTCTGTTTCCTTTTATACACAAAGGACGTACCTGCAATAAGTCTACATTCACCCAATTGCTATTCACAACAGTTCACTACAGTATGATAAGAAAAATCTACAATCGAAGAAGACGAATTTCGATGTACACAGAAAACTTTCGCAAATATTCTACACAATCACTGACATACAGTCACAAACCAAATTATATGGAATCGTTGACAATGAACCATTCTTTGAATAAATAATTAATCATGAGCAGTAACTGAAAAGAACTTATATCTAATCAAACTCAAAGAAGAATGTAGTACTGCGTTGAACAAATACTTAGACGATTTCAATACAACATCCCATTGAAATGGAAGGATCAGTGTAGCGATGAAAAAAATTAATATCTAATCAAACTTAAAGAATAATGTGGTACTAGATTGATCAAATACTTAAAAGATTTCAATACAATATCCCATTGAAACAGAATAAACAAGGATCAATGCAGCGATGGAAAATACTGATTATTCATCAAATTCAAAGAAGAATTTGGTACTGCGTTGATTAAATACTTAGACGATTTCAATACGATACCCCATTGAAATGGAATTTACAGGGATAAATGCAGCGTTGGCGTTCTGAAGATATGTGAATAAACACTGTTCACACTAAACCTCAAAAAATACAGTTTAAAATGGAACGTAATAATGATTGCTTGTAAGAACCAAGTCCACTGAAAGCCCTATGCTCTCTAAGAAGAGATATTTGATATCTTTGATACTAAACTTGGAATAAAAAAATTTTACTAATGCAACTAAGCAATAATCACAATTGTTAGTTTGAATTGTTTTCAAAATCTGATGAAAATGAATTGAAGAACCGATTAAATTAATTGCTTTTATAATTCTCATTTCATTGCATCGAATCCTGTTCCATGGAATGGAGGTGTGCCAATGTGGTTGATTGTTGTTGTTGTTGTTGTGATTCAATTAGTGCGCGTCTGTGGCATGACATTTTGTTGACAAGTTCAGTGACTTTGGAATTTCATTTAGAATTTTTCTACGGAAACCTTCAATGCATTTTGGTTTGGGTTGGGTTTTGATTAAATTATCAACGATTTCATACATAATTTATTTGCCATTGATGGATGTTTTTTAATTATAAACTTGTGTGTGGCAGTTGAATTGATTTTTAATAAAAAAAAGGAAAAAAAAATAATAGTGAGTTTGCAACATTTTATTTTTGAATATCAGTAAGTTTAAAAAATTCCATCAAATAAAATTATAAATAATTTTATGCTTCAAAACAATCCTTCCTATATTATATTTGTGCTTACTTACTTTTTTCTTGCGTCTGTGTGAAGATGTTGAATGTGGCGTACCACGTCCATTTTCCACATTTTTTCCCAATGAATTCAGTAAGTCATCAACGTTGCGTATGCAGTTACGTTCCAAAGTATTTGGTGCCGTAACCGCGCCTGCTGCAGTCCTATGACCCAAACTATTGCTGCGCGATCTTCTGCCATCGGCGTTTGCGTCTAAGCGATTTTTTTGTAGCCAATAAACTTGGTTTGCATAATTTATTTCAGCTGCGGCTTTACGCGCATTACGACGACTCAAGCTGGCATTATTTCCTGCGTCATTGGCGCTGCCACCATTTGCCAGGTACTCACCCGATATATGTACCTTTGGCGTCGTGACCAACTGCAGACCAGCAGCGCCAGTTTGATGTGGAAATTCATGTAGTTCATATGGGTATCTGGGATCCATGGTTTGACCAGGTTGTCGTGGGTACATATAACCATCACGTAAGAACATTTTTGAAGTTGTGTAAATGCGGTCGTCAATCTGGTAGAGACCATTCGCACCTGGTCCTTCACCACTACCGATAATGCCATTTCTAATCAGTGCTGTTGGCGTATAACCAGCGCGTATATAACGCGCTTGTGTGTTTACTGTATTTATTATGCCATTGCGCCGCACTGCTGCCGTTTGTGTCGGTAATACTGTTTTACGTTGTTTCGCTTTAAAACTGCTTCGCCGAGAAGTATACTTTAAAAATTTCATTTTCACGAACGGAAGAGAGTTATTAACACAAAATTACAGCCTAAAAATAGGCTTTGCTTTTCTTAAATTTGATTTAATTTTTGGTTTTCGATTAATTTATATTTTATTAAATTTTATTTAAAATAATTACGGACAACTAAAAATTAAAATAAATTTAGATTTAATTTAGATTAAATTATTTTTGATTTGTATATATTTAATTTTATTTTATTTTGTATAATTACAAACAACTAAAAATTAAAAATAAAATATAAATACATTTTGAGTTATTTTATATATTATAAAATTATTTATTTTCGTTTGATTTATATTTAATTTTATTTTAAACTAAAAAAATTAAAAAAAAAGTTGCAATTAAATACATTTTTATTGTTTGTTTTAAAGCAACGTTACACTGTAATATATATTAAAAATTATATTCGTTCTATATTAGGTCACTGGAAATTAGATATTTCTTTGAAATTTCACAGTTTTCAACAAACACTGGCGCGCTTTACTCATTTTCCATGGCTTTTCATTGCAATTATAAAATTTTATTGCTGCAATTGTTGCTACACTTTCAGAACGCGCCATAATAATCCAATTAGTTGCTTCGTTTTTTGCTTTATTTTCGTTTTATTTGTGTTTTTGCAGTGTATTTCCTTAGAGCACATGTTTTGGTTAAGTCTATGGCATGATACATTTTACCAGTCGATTTATGTTGTCATTTACGTTTTTGAGCCGCAGATAGACAAGGTAATTTTGTTTGTGGTATTATGGAAGTGGCATACTTTTCGATGTATTTATTTCTATAAAACCCTAATAATTCGGTTTTAAAACTATATCATTAAATTCGATATATGTACGTCGATTGGTGATCTATCAACTTTAATCCACACTTGTTTTGCTGACATCAAAATAGCTGCAGAGTAAAGCTTTATTTAACCTGAATGTTTTTTATGACTACTAAAAGGGGGGTGGATACTGATAAAATGAATTAATTGAATGTTAACTTATATTCCTTCCTAACGCTCATATAAATTTAATTCAAATTATTGAGTTTTTAAATTTTGTTTAAATCAACAAAAATTTTGATAAAAGAATACGCAAAGATAACTAGTAAGTGTAAGAAGTCCATAATACTCACACCTTTTGGTATATAAACTTAAGTCCATAAAGCTGATGAGCTATGTAATATAATGTGAATCAATTAACTCTTGTATTCAGTATCATCTATAAAACAGATCCTATAGACCTTTTACTATTAAGAATAACAGTTTTTCATATAACTCAGATTGGAGTATATTATATTAAGTGGATTGAATATTAGCTATGGATTATATTTCATGGTTCTCTTACATGACATGCATATGTCTTTAACATATATCATGTAACAGAAAAGTCAGAGGTAGATGTGATAAATAACATCATCACAGATGTAAATGACATTATAAAAGTCGTTTGAACGAGAAAATGAGTCTGACATGAATAATACAGTTCGAATAGAAAAGAACTTTAAAGATATTGAACAAATCCTAGGTTTTTGCAGATTCGGTAAATGTTTATTTACATTTGATTTATATTACATTGTAATATATGTGAATTTGTTAATATATACGTATTCACATTATGTGAAAAAAGAATATAGTATTTGATGGTAACGATACTAGTTTTAAATCTAATATAGATTCTTTTTTTGGCCATAAATAGTATAAATAAATGTATAATCTGATATGTAAATATACTTGATCTAAAACAAATTTTTAATTTAGCAAATATTAAAAACTAGTAGTGTCTCAATTTTACTATTTAAACATATATTGTCTGTGATATTTTAGTTCGCTTATACTGCTTCAAATGGTTCGGGTAGCTCTTGTAAATTGAATTTGGAGTGTTTGGAGCGAAAATTCGCAAAAAAAAATATATATTTAATAATCAAATTTGAAGTTTCTTTTTCTAATTATTTTTTGTTTATTTTATACATTTACTCAATTTTTGTTTTTAAAAAATATTTTGTTCATTGCTCTGTTTTTTTTTCGTAAAATTAAACTCAAAATAAGTTATTAATATTTTATTTGACATTTATTTAATTTTTTATGCTATTATTTGTTTAAATTCTTTTATTGTTGTGAATTAAACAAAGGTAAAAAGTTCTTTTTTTAAACCACAAATAAGTTCACCATTTCATATTTTTAAATTAAAAATATTAAAAAAATGTTTAAGTCTTATTAAAATAGTTTTATTATAAAAATCGTTTTATTTTTATAAAATAGTTTAATTTGATTAAAAAGTAATTTTTATTGCTCAGTTATTAAGACGATTTTATTTATATATTTTTATCATTTTATATAATAATTATATACATAGTATTATGTATATTATAATCAATAAGTATACTTTATCGAATAAATATGAATTTGAATACTTTCACTAATCACACGCGTTTCCGTTCTAAGCACTTCTTTTAATCGCGACCAACCATTTTAAACTAAGGGCAGTAAAAATACGAAATAAAAATTTGCTATACAAATTTAAAATAAAAAACAATTAAAAAAAAAATAAAATTTAAAAAGAACAAATGAAAACATTTTACAAGAGAACATAAAAAAGGCGAATGTTTCCAACGCCATTGATAAAAATTTCCAAAGATATATATATGAACATATGTAAATACTTTTCCTAAAACAAATATTTCCACATGCAACACAGTTGCATTCCAATATGTCAAAAACAGATATGTTATACCGTATGCGTGTAAAAGTCTCAGAACGAGAACTCTGCCTGTTGGATTGTTATGAGACATTGGAAATGGTTGGACTTTTTAATCAGCCACACGTTTTTAATTTTGAAAAAATAAAATAAATATCATCCCCACACTTTTAGTAGAATGAAAATAAAATAAATATATATTAAATAATTTTTTTTTTTCATAAAATAAAATAAACAAGAACGAAGACTATCAAGTGTTTTTCTCTATTATTTTTTTTCCGTGGCCCTAAGACCATTTTAAATGTAGTCTAAGCTTTTGAGAAGATTACTATTAGTAATGTACACTCAGTGTGGGGGGCGTTTTATAGTGATTAAAATATCTCATTCATACGTCATCGAATTATTCCGATATCAAAATTGAAAATGTAAATGGAAATGAGTTCAAATGCCTCTTAATTGTTGATATGTTTTTGATAACATTCGCATATATAATATATCAGTCTCTTTATATATATTTTATTTTATTTTAATTTGTTTTTTCTTTTATCTATGGTTCATACGAGAGTGAATTAGGGGCGGTTAAAAACTTTATAAATTGCATAAAGTTAAAAAAATTCTTTTTTTTTTGTTCTATTTATTTTTCTTGTTTTATTTTATTAACACATTTATTCGGGATTGTCTTTGATTTGAATTTTAACATAGATTATGGAACAATAAAATACGATCTACATATATCTTATAATCAATAGGCTTGTAGGTAAAACATTTTAGAATGTTAAGAAAACTTGACTTTGTTTTTAATTGCAAATTATTGAATATTCAAAAAATGTAATATACTTTTACAGGAGCTATTGATAGTGTTGCATATATTATACACCATAGCATATACCTATCATATAGCGGACAATATAAAACAAAGGTAATGAACGAAAGCTAGGAATGAGCTATCGTAAATTACCCCAAATAAGTGATGAGATGGACTTAATGGAAAATTTGCTACTAAGATTACCGATTATGCGTGCACTCGACTCAAGACACGATCTGTATCCTAGTAAGCTTTATTAAGACAATGCAAAATTCAACTGTTTATACGAAGGAGTTTTCCTAGTCACTGTAAAATCGTTGTAGTCCTGAATTCTGAATACCATTAACCTTCAGTAGGAGAATGGAAAATTTTGTTGAAGTGAAACTGAATATTAAGATCAGGTGAATAGAAAATTTAGCTGAAGTGTGTACGAAAGAATTTTCATAGTCAGTATAAGATTGTTATAGCCCTGAGTTCTGCATGCTATTAACCTTTAGTAGGAGAATGGAAAATTTGGTTGAAGTTTATTGAAAGGAAGAAATTTCCATACTCATTGTTAGATCGTTCGAAGCACTAAAGATGAATATCTGGATCAGTTGAATGGAAAATTCAGCTGAAATGTTTGCAAAGCAAAATTCCTAGTCACAATTATATTGTTGTTAAAGACAAATTCTGATATAGCTTTTAGTAGGAATGCAGAAAATTTTGTTGAATTTATGCGGAAGAGTGTGTCTAGTCACAATAAGATCAATGCAGGAAACTTATTCAGTTGGTATCAAAGATTAAAGTCACTGTAAACATAAATAGCGAAAATCTGAAGATTCGGTACTTCTTAAAGATACAACTAAAGTAGAAATCAATATATAGACAGAACCAATACAATAGTTGTACGATCTACAACAATAGCTGTGTGTATCTGTGTGCAATCACAAATGTTTGACCCATACCTTGAGGGAATATCACAGTTTATGAACGGAGTATTTTTCAAAGGTTTCTATAATATTATATTCCCATTCTTAAAGTTTTATTTCATTCGTCATATATATAGAAAATTCAAAATTGATTATATGTATATTTATATGTAATTATTACGACTACTCTATCCGATAATAGCAATACCAACAACAATTATTTAATAATAATAATTAGTATGCATTTAGAGTACTTACAAAAAATTCATCCTCGATCACAGGATCAGCAAGCATTTCAATGGCTTCTGTCATAGAACGGCAAGTTCTATTTGTATTCTTCTTCTTCTTAAGTTTTCTACCCAATGTCGCAGCATCACTGAAACGATGTAAAAGTTTCTCCCTTTTCCGTGTTGCCAATGGACTCGAAGTGGAGCTGGCATGACACAATAAAGAAGAGTAATTATTGCTCGTTGATGAAATGGTACTTGTGTTTGCATAGAAGTTTTGTGTTTGGTACTGTGATGGCGCTGTTAAAGTGCTATTCGAATCGATCTTCTGTATGAGATTATATTCCGATTGTGGATATTTACTAGGTATAGGAGATGCAGTAGAAGCAGATTTTATGGAAGATTGTTGTGAAAGTATAGGCTTTGGTGGTGGTGGTGGAGGTTCTTTCATTAAGGAAACACGCCTAGGTGCTGCACGTGGGAGTGTTGTTGAATTTGGTGATGTACCGCCGTAACTAACAGCGCGGCGATTCCGATCGTTTTCTTTTTCTCTATAAAGATAAAACAAAATAAAAATTTATTAAAGAATTTAAACAGTTTGATTATAATTATATTTAAAGAATTATTAATCAAAGTATAAATATTAAAATACATTACTATTATTTTTAAATTAATTCATACTTTTCATCTACCCTATTCTTTTCTTAGCCTAAGCATACCTAAAACGCCTTCTCTGCAGTGGTGGACTAAAGAAGCAGTTAGGCGCTAAAGGCACAAAATATCCTATTTGTAGCGAAGTTTCTGGGCTATTAACAAAATGATAAGCATCCTGTTGTGGTAATAAATCGTTGTTATGTGGTATGATTGGCATCGATACTCTTTTGGTTGGAGACATACTGCTTGTAAATACTTTTTTGTGATATTTTCGTTGTAAGTTTTGCTGTTTACGTAAAATGTTTATATCTATTGATGAACTTGTTGAGGCCGCCGAGTCCAAAGAGTATTGGCTAAGAGTATTCGATTCGGTATCTATGAGTTCGACAACATTTCTAAGATCATCATCACTGGAACACTCATGCACAGTATAGCATGTAAAATTATGCGCGGTGTAATCGATTTGTGACATTTTTATTTGTTAATTTTCGTTCCTTTTTTATTTATTTTTTAATTTTTCTTTTTTTAATAATTATTTTTAAACTTTAATATTTTTAATCACTCATTACGTTTTTTGGCAGTGTTGTAAAATTAATTTTTATAGTGTGTTTTTTTATTTATTTGACTAGAGGTTTGCTTGTTGACTTGCATTTCACTTTAAAAATAAATTTAAATATATCCATTTTTCATATTATTAATTTAAGATTTTTATTACAAAATTGCTTATGAGATATTATGTTGTATTGTTTCTACAGCTTTTCCGGAAAGTTTCACTTTCGACAGTTTAATCTCCAGGTTTTAATATTTTTTTTTTTATTACAAAGTACTTTATTTATCATACTAAAACCATATTAACATGATTGTCAGGTAATCCGTGGTTACTTTTCTTTCCTATAATCTTTATATATATAATATAATTAAAATATAATATTATATTAAGTTGGCCAACAGTGTATGTTTAGTTTGGTTTATACAAAATAAATTTTTTTAAATAAATATTATTTAAAACAAATAAATCTTAGTATTAAAAAATTTTGTTTATATTAGTTTGATAGAAAAATAAAATTTAAAAATATTTAATCGAATTAAAATTTTTAAAAAAAATTTGTATATTTTATATCAATAAAATTCAATTGTTAAGGGAACAATTGAAGGAACAACAAAATATTGTTGTAGAGCACAACAAAAAAGAAATAAAAGGCAGGATCTAGTTCCCTTGATGTCTCAAACTTTAGCGCCCTTTCCTTTGATCTCTTGCAATGCCTGCGTCTCAATATCTCATCTTATACTTTGATGAAAGACAGTCAGATGCCTTCATCGCTCCTCTCTATTCCCCTAGCTTTCGTGACCCTAGTCGCAGAGTTTACAACTACCTTACCTATCGCGCTTGAGTAATAACCCCACTTCCTCCATCTACTTCTCTTCCCTCTATTCTACGCTCCTTTGGCAAACATATACTTCTAAGTACAAAGAGGCTTACTTTATCCCAACTGTTTCTACTAATTACTGAAGTGAAATTTCCCACACTGCCCTTCGGGTCAGCGGTAGAATTCTTCTTCATTCATTCTTAAGAGGTGGTAAAAGGTTTTAGTGTGTTAAAGTCTCACATTATTGCTTTCAATGCTTTTCACCTACCACCAAAAAAAGGTATAAGCATATAGGTTATTCTTTTACAAGCGGAGTGGATCTTAACTTTATCAACCCCGATTTAGTTCATATTTATAAAACAAAAACATTCCAATATCGGAAAAAATTAAAAAAATTTGTTTTTTTTTTGTCTTAAAATATAACCGTCAATATTAATATTTAAATGTAAATAATTTTTATTGTTTATACTATTTGCAAAAATTTAAATCAATTATTTCTACAACGCAAAATATTTTAAGCTTCTATAACTTATAGAGTCTTAGAAAGAGGGGTATTTTAAGATTAATCTAAATTACTAGGAAAAATAATTACTAGGAAAAAATTTGCTTTAAATAATTTTAGAATTTTATCACATTGCGTCTGGTATGCTCTTTTTAATAATATAATAATAATATAATATAATAATTTATCAAATAATATTTACAAATATGCAATATTATAATATTATAAGGTATTTGACCAAATAATTTTTAAATGACTTTTTAATTTAACTTCAAAATGTTCAAATATTTAAATACTAATCACCAAATATATTAAATTAATTTGTCATTTAAAGATATTTAAATTGTTCGTAAATTTAAAAATAATTGACCCACTCACGTTTTAGAGATTAAGTCTTGCAAAAAACCTAAAACCACAAAAAATTCGACATAAATAATTTGTTTTAGATTACAAAATTTCCGCTAAAATTATTTTCTTTTACTTTAGAAAAATAGTTAACTTTAAATTAAGTTAATTTTAATAGCATTTTTTTTAATAATAAATATAAGCAAAAAAAATTTGAAATTATACACAAAATTTTGGTTTTTTTTCTACTTTATGATTTTCTCACACTTTTTGTCTGATTTCGGTTGTAAATTAAATTTGTTTTGAGAAAAAATTTAATCAAAAACATGTGTCTAATAAAAATTCATATGCTGTATAAATAGTGCAAAAATATTATTAATTAAATTAATTAATTAGAAATTTCTTTTTAAAAAAAAATGCTTTTTTATGTTGTGAAAGAAAACTTCAAAATGTTGAGTTAAAATAAACTTAATTAAATATTAAAATATATAATATAAATTGAACTATAATTCCAATTATTATTTATTAATACTAATAGTCTTATATTTTATGCTAAATAAAAAGAAAAATAATTTTAAAATTATTGTACAAGAAATAAATTATGGAAATTAATTTTTAAGAATCTATAAAATTTAATTATTAAAGTAATGTAAATCAATTTACTGAAAGGTGTGCTACTTTTAATTTACATTGTGACCGAAAAGTTTTCGGAAATTCTCATTTAAAATTCGCGCGCTGTATATTTTTCGATATTTTAAGTTTATGTAGTTTGGCAGCACTTTCCTTAATTACTATGCCAAAAATGAGCGCGATCTGTCAGACAGTTCGTTTACGGCAGCTGTTGAAACCAGTTCACCTCAGTAGTGCGTTGCGAAAAAAACAATGGAAAAAAATATTGAACAAAGAGTTTGCATCCAATTTTGTGTTTCGAACGAAATTTCGTGTGCAGAATCGTTGCGAATGCTACAAAAGGCTTATGGGGAATCAGTTTTATCGAAAACTCAAGTTTATGAGTTGTACAAAGCCTTTCAGGACGGTCGTACGACCGTCGAAGACATGCCGCGTTCTGGACGACCTTCGACCTCTACCACCGACGAAAACATTGAAAAGGCAAAGGAAATCGTGTTCAAAAATCCTCATGTGAGTGTTAGAGAGATAGCACGAGAGCTAGGCATCGGTCGTGAGATGGCTCGTTTGATTTTGGTGGACAATTTGTGTATGCGACGTGTCAACGCCCGGCTTGTTCCGATTCACCTCAATTTGTTCAACATTATCAACGATTTTAAGGCCAAACATTCAATAAATACCATCGAACAGCCACCGTATTCACCTGATCTTGCACCGTGTGACTTTTTCCTGTTTCCCAACCTCAAATTACCACTCAGAGGAACGCGTTTTGAATCCATAGAAGACGTAAAACAGAATTCGCAGAGGGAACTCAAAGCCATACCGGAAAGCGCCTATAAAAAATGTTATTGATGATGGAAGAAACGTTGCATTTGTGTACGCTTCTAAGGGCAATTTGAAGGAGATAAAATAAATATTGATGAAGATTAAGAATTTTGCGTTTTATTTAAAATTTCCCGAAAACTTTTCGGTCACAATGTATATAAGTTATATTTCCATATTAATTAGTTACTTGTTAATTAATATTAAACATCTACATCTAATTAAATCAGTTCTGTTCAATTAAATATTTTTCAATATAATTTTGTTTTCTTTTTTATTATGAGAACTCAAGCCCTCACATAAAGATTTTTGTCTATAATATTATTTACATATTTTTTTTTTATTTCTATTTAATATTATTAATAATAAATTAATATTAATACTATTAATAATAAAAAAATATTAATATTGTTAATAATATTAAATGAGTAATATTAAATGTTCGGTGCATTTTTTTTTAAATTAAAACATTATTTTATAGTTTTTTCAATAGCTATAGAAATAATGAAAACTAATTTTAGATAAAAATAATTTAGTGGAAAAATAAGTTTTATATATATAATTTTATTGAATTTATTTATCAATTAAAAATATATTAACTTACTTTAATTAGGTTTAAAAGTAATGTAAGATTATGTGAAATAATAATTGATGTTAATTTTTAAACGATGTGATGGTGGAAATCAAAATTTTTTATTTTTTAGAGTTATAGGAAATATAGTACAAAGTCAAAAATTTTATGGATGTACTTTGTAATCTGTAACCATATAATGAATATTTTTTACATTATATTTATTGCATTTGAACGCACGAACACTATATTCCAGAAGAAGAATGAAGCTTTTATGAAATATTTTTTATTGATCGAAAGGAAAATGGATAATCCAAGATTGGATCCTATACTGGGCGCTGTTATTTGGAAAGAAATCTTACATTTTTTTTTAATTACAAAAAAAAAATTTTTGATTAAATATATAAAAAAAAATTGTTATTTCAATAAATTAACCTAATTTTTATTGTTGCTTCTTCATTACTATTTGAACCCTTTTAGTTTAGTTTTTCGTCATAAGATGCGTCACATTCGACAAAAAAAATTAATATATGAAAAGAATTTTGTGGTTTAAAATATGAAAAGTTAAAATTTTTTGAACTTGAAATTTATATAAGAACGCTACTAAAAAAAGATAATCTTAAAATAGTGTCGCTTACATAATTCGGTAAGCGACAAATAGACACATATATAAAGTATAAAGTCCGCGTATTAAGAGAAGTGGTCTTTTAAATTTTGTCAATAGTTTCTCTAGCTCATTGAAAGTATAGAGCTTTGGTATACCATCTGAATTGTGTTTTGTGCTACAAACTTAATTTAAAATATAACCAACTGCGTCTTTCTTGAATGATCTTTCTTAAGATCATGTTCAGCTACTTATTCAAACATTTAGATGTGTTTGTCTTAAGGAGATATTGTCAGTATAGTCGAGATCTTTAAGATATTTCGTAAACGTGTAAGAAATACCACTGATGGTTATATTTATGGCGGAGTGTAGGTTGATATTGATGAAAATCAAAAATCGGATAGGTGAAAGCAGACAGTTTTGACAAACCACAGACTTTCTGGAGATACATTCGAAGAGAACGATATGGTGGAAACGTTCTCTTCGAACATTTAAAACACTTAATAAGTTTTATCAGACTGATTAATTTCGAAGTAAATTTAGCGCTCCAAATAGATAAAGAATAAAGGCTATCGAAAGTCGTGCGACAATTTATAAATCACAGTAAAAGAGAGGACTGCCATTTGTTAAATGTTAAAACG